TACGCTTTCTGTAAGCAAACAAGCAAGCAAGCAAGCAAGCAAGTTAATCAGCAAGAAATCTCAATAACGAGACATCGTAGAGACTTCTAGTTTTTTACATTTGATCCGTGCTGCTCTATAGAAGAGCTGTATTGTTTTTGGGCAAGGTAGGAACAGCCGTTGCTTCAGAAATGGCAAAAAACTTTCCTTTCTTACGAATTTTTTAAAACAAAAGTTGACTGTGATTTTTATAAAATTCAACTTTGGATGAAAATTTTTTTTAAAAAACTTTTAAAGAATATTTGGCATATTCGTCAAGCTTTATACCTTCAAACTTATGTTGAGCGTAGCTCAGCTGACTCGATAGCTTTATATCTTCAAACTTATGCTGAGCGTAGCTCAGCTTACGCGATAGCTTTATAACTTCAACTTATGCTGAGCGAAGCTCCACTGCCTCTCTAGCTTCATATCTTCAAACTTATGCTGAGCGTAGCTCAGCTGACACTCTAGCTTTATATCTTCAAACTTATGCTGAGCGTAGCTCAGCTTACGCGATAGCTTTATAACTTCAAACTTATGCTGAGCGAAGTTCAGCTGCCTCTCTAGCTTCATATCTTCAAACTTATGCTGAGCGTAGCTCAGCTTACGCGATAGCTTTATAACTTCAAACTTATGCTGAGCGAAGCTCAGCTGCCTCTCTAGCTTCATATCTTCAAACTTATGCTGAGCGTAGCTCAGCTTACGCGATAGCTTTATAACTTCAACTTATGCTGAGCGAAGCTCCACTGCCTCTCTAGCTTCATATCTTCAAACTTATGCTGAGCGTAGCTCAGCTTACGCGATAGCTTTATAGCTTTAAACTTATGCTGAGCGAAGCTTAGTTGACTTATCAAGCTTCATACCTTCATACTTATGATGGGCAAATCTTGGTCTATCCATAAGACTTATGATAGTACGGTGTGAATATAATCCGCATTGGGTTTCTACCCGATACACTAGTTCGTGCTGATTTTGACATTTCTTTCATCACTTCCTCTACATTAACTGGTTCTTCTCTATAAATACTTAATAAAACAATTATCAGATTTTCGTAGGGGGGGCCCGGGCCCCCTATGCCCCCCCCCCCTGGCTACGCCCCTGTAAGGGACCGTTCACTCATTACGTCAAGTATTTAAGGGTGGAAGGGGGTTCTAAGATTTTGATGCAGTTCAAACAAAACAATTTTTTTTCTTTAAACTTTTTTACAGCGCTTAGAGCACAAGTCATTTATTTGTGTTAGCTAATAAATCAACGGCCCCAACCTGGTTTGATGGTTGAAGCTATAAATACTAGATCTGACTGGATCCTTAGACTTGTGACTTTAATAATTCAATTAGCAACACTGAAATTACACCTAATCACAATTTTTCAATGTTTAACAAGTTAATCACAAATAATCCTCAATTAATTAAGCAGCTCCATTACAACCGTCAATACTACATTCACTAAACCTTATTAAAAATTGATCGAGAACTTTCTTAACTTTAGCTTAAAATGCAATGAATCAATAATGTCATCAAATTTCAACAAATTTATACGACCAAATTTTATTTCAATAATTTATTTATTTTTTTTCATAAACAACTCAAATCCTCTTATCAAGACATTCGACACATAAAATACACAGCAAATCCATCAAAGGGCATTAAGTTCTCAGTTAGTTCCCATTATTCACCTTATCTCAAGTTTTACGACAAAATAATAATCGAAAATGACAGACAAAAAAAAAATCTCATCGAGTTTTTATTTATTTTCGTTAATATTTTTTAAATCCCCCCGCGATAGGAAATCCACTTAAAGATATCGGTTAAAAGTCTTCAATTTTTCAACTGTCAGTGGCAGTTTTCTTGTTTATTTTTATAATGAAAACCAAATCAAACCGCATAAACGAATTTAATCTCTTGCTTTCGGTCTCTCACGTCGCATGTCTCATTAGCTTGGCAGCTTTTTGCTTTAAAAATATGAAAACAAGTAGGAATGATTGTTGGGGGCTGTGGTTAAAACGCATTTTATTGAGCTGATGAGCAAACCTGACTGTTTGACGGATTAACAGATTAACAAGCTGATAGACTGAAAGCCTGATGGACTTATAACCTGAACTATTGACAGCATGGTGAGGTTATAGTTTTACAACCAGCAGGACTGACAGACTGCACCAACTGATACAAATTGAGCTTCATACATCTATAAACTCTATTTCTTCACAGTATAACAAGCATGAATTATGTGGCATTTGTTATCGATAGGCTTTCAAAAAAAGCGAATGATTAATTGATGTAGATTAATTTTCAATGTAGCATTTTAACACTAACATACTTAATTCTTCATTCCATCATTTCGACATGCCGCCGTCATTTGAATGAGTCTCTTTTTATATATTTTTTTTTATATGATATGGATAGACGATTGATTTCCTAATCTTAGTCATTCTCTCTTTCTTTCTTACTTGAACGAGGGAAAATCTCGATGTGTTGGTTATTCATAATAAATGTTCGTTGAAAATTGATTTTATTTGGGTCATATTTTATTGATGACAGGCTTAATGTTCATTTCTATATTTTTTCATTTCGTGATTTTCATCTTTAGATTTCTGGTTCTTTCTTTTTTTGGGGAGTCGTATTGTGATGATTTATTTGAGTAAGTGGATTTTTGTCTGGTTGTCTGGGTTGTCTGGTTTGTTTTGTGAATATTTGTGGGGATTATTAGATTGAAAATTATTAAAGCTGACGTCATTGCTAACACAATAAGGCCTTATCAATCCTTTCCTCACATAAACCACAATTTCAACACAAAAATGCGCTCTAAACCAACCATAAATTCTACACACTTTCTTACTTCTTCCTTTCATTCCTAAATTCTTCACTCTGTATAACTTATTCATGAACAACAATGAAAAGGAAAATAATAACAAGAATAAGAAAGTTATTTATGTTGAAGATTGACAGGCAGTGTCATGACAAATTATGAAATGATGACATTGTTGGAGATGCATGCTGCTTCTAGCATTTATTTTGACAATGATTTATTATGAATGAGTGATTTCTTATCTCTTCTTATTCATATTTTCGTGGATCTTTTGCGTGATCTTATACTGCGTGTGGTTGTGTGTTTTGTGATGATTAGAGACGGGAAGGAGGGGGGGGGGGTGGATCATTTTGACATAATTTTTTTTAAGAATTGTTCAAGTTCTGCTCAAATTATTTGAAATTTTAATTCAATGTCATTTCCGTTTAACTCTAGCCCTTAATCTGGTTCATATAAACACCCCAGATTCACATAAACCTAATCACAAAACCTTTATCATCATTAAAAAATAAAGTCACATAAACATTCAAAATCTATAAACATTAGACAACAATAAACATGTCTAAATTCATGTCATAGCTTTATGTGCTCCACAAATCATTCAAATTAATCCTCTTTACTTAAAAAAATAGAAAAACACCAAATTAACATTAAAAATATTTCAAGATGTCATAAAAATTTCAACTCAATGTGCTCCTAAATTAAATTGAAATTTACAGCAGTTAGAATTATGAAGGAAAAAAATTAATTCTCGGATAATAAAAAAAATATTATTTTCATAATTTATAATCCTCGTTACTCAAACTTCTGTTACTGATGATTTTACTGCTTAATTGATTTTAATTTTCATCCATGTATTCAAAAATCAACTGAATGTGAACATATATTATGTGTAGTAGCAGCACATGAAGGCGAAGGCAGACTTAAGTCATAAATAATTTAAATATGAAATGTAAACAGTGTTGAAATGAGTAAGTGGATGCCGAGGGGATATTGGAGGTTGGCTGTTAGTGGCGCAGTTTCTTCGGGGCATTTGAGTTCCTGTCTAGGGATTTAAGTAGCAAATGTTTAAGGAGGTGGTCATTTAAATATCTTAACATGATGCTAAGATATATTTGAAGATGGTGTCAAAAGACAGAGTAAGGAGGAACCTTAAGATGTACCCAAGGCCCATCAAACAATGATATTTGGACATTTTTTAGGATAGATTCAACATATATCTGAAGATGGACTCAGAAGGTACCTGGAATGTCCTTAATGAAGGACCAAGGACAATGATATAGATTGAGCCAAGATATATCTACAGATTGCCTTTGGATGGACTTGCACGGAAGGCACACTGTGTAAAAATGGATGTCAATCAGCATTTGGTGAAATCCGGTGCGATGTCATGTTCAAGCCGTCCTGGACACTAGATTAACAGCCATTTTTACGCTATGTTCTTTTCGGGTTACATATGAACTCAGGGATTAACTCATGTTATACCTAAAGGTAGAATCAGGACATACCTCAAGATAGTATCAAGACATACCTCAAGATTGATCCAAGATATGCTAAAGAAGGAACCAGGATGTCCTCCAAAAAAACCCAAAATGTTTTCAAATGTCCACCCTGCAACTGCCAATCAAACCAACACAAATTCACATTAACGTCACCCCGTCATAGTATGAACACCAACTGTCTTTATTCCTCTAATCAGATTAAAATGACTACTCAAAAAAGGCAGCTTATGAGTGGCGCATCATAAATCATTGAAAAAATGTGTGTGATATTTTTTTAAGTCTCTCATAAAACACGTGTTCATAATCATTCACATTGGAATCACCACACATACTCGAAGAACATTTATATATGAAAAATATGAAGAAGTGAACTTAAAGTCATATTTTATTACTGTCGAAAATAAATGAAGAAATGAGAGCTCTTCAACAAAAAAAAAAAAACGTGGAAGAAATCAATTCAGTCACAATAATAATTCAAAATGTGACATTTGAAATGGATGACTTGTAAATCAATCATTCATTCTTACAATCTTTTCCTTCTTCTTTTTCGTTTGCCTTCACATCGACTACGTACGACAGAAACGAATAACAAATTTTTTTTTTTTTTTGGCTCGATTGACGTACACAAAAAAAATTATTTACAGTCGTCACAGGAAAGAAAGAATTTTTTTTTGTTTGTTTGCTGAGGAATTTGACGGGAAGCATATTGTGAGCTGGTTAGAGGGTAATGATATGAATTGGAATGGATATTAATGTTTATGGTGGGATATAACGGGGGGCATAGTCAATGGGGTTCTGAGGAGTACGGGTACATCCTCTTGTACCCTATTTAAAAATTCTGGCTTTGGTTTTCATAGCATTGACTGTTATGACACAGAATTAAAGACATTGGGGCTACTTGAAAATGTATGTAGCAAATAAAATGTAGGTTAAGGGTGGGCTGACCTACTGCTTGGCTTTTAAGGGGACAGTCTTAATTTTTCAAAAATAAAATAGTTTTGTTTTGTTCTAATTCGTCCAGAAAATGAATAAAATTGGTAAACACGTAGGATGTCCTCTATTTTACTTTCAGGTCCACTATTTTTTCAAAAAATATCTGGTCACGCTAGTTAAGGGTAATGTTTTAATATCCAAGCAATTTAATAGCGTCAACAAAATTTTAAAACATGAATTAGTATGCATCACATGTTCAACTTTTATTCCTTAAAATTTCTTCTCTTTGTCATTTACAAGTTTTAAATTTACATTACGCAAGATTTTGACCTCAGCTTCTAATTTCCGAATCTGTTGATCTTTGGCTGAACATTCCTCTTTATTATTGTCAATTGATGATACTTCGAATGCTTCTTTTGAATTTTGGCGGCAAACTGTTAATATTAGCGTGAATCAAAAATGTGGTCAATTTTAAATTATGGCTAGCTTACCTGACATAATATTATCATAATTTCTAATGCATTGTGATAGTTCAGCTCTCATTATAGCTCTTGTGGCTGACGAATCCTGAATTAATCTGTTTGCGCACAAGTTAAGTGTTAAATCAACATCAGTGATTCCAGTGTAATCAATAAGGTTCCCATCAAATGCATTAATATTGTTGAAGAATAGATTTAAGGATTGCAAAGTTGGTAAAAATCCAAAAGAATCTGCGTGAATCATTTTCAAATTATTTCCATACAGTTCAATTTGTTTGACGTTTAAGAGCCGACTAAAGATATTTCTTGGGAGTTCAGCAATACTATTGTAATGATAATATAAAGTTTCTAAACTTTGAAGATTTTCAAACCATTCGTGACGAGGACTGCTAAGCTGGTTGAAACCAAAATTCCAATGAGTAAGTTTTTTGAGACTTTTGAAAATGCTTGTTGGCAGTTGCGAAATTAAATTATTATTGAAATCTATAAAATCAAGATTTATTTGATTTTGAAATAGATTTTCTGGCAATGCTTTAATAAGATTGAAGCTCATGTGCAAAGTACGAAGTTCTGAGTTCCTAATAAATGCTCTTTCATTAATAAAGCTTATTTCATTGTCTTGCAAAATTAAGAAACTCAAGGAAGTGCAATTGCTGAAGGAATAGTCATCAACTCTTTGAAATGTATTTTGACCAAGATTTACAAAACGAAGATTCCTGAACTTTTGACAAATTATAGCTGGAATGTTGGGAGAATTTGTCCTTACGAATAAATTCAATTCAACAACATCACTGTCAGTAAAACCTGGTAAATGCATCCCATCTATGTCTTCAAAGTTATTCAATCCATTTGGATTAAAAAATTCTAATTCACATGCATATCCAGAACTGCTCAAATGATAGAAACAGATAAAAAACTCGACTTGTGAGACTATTGAGGAGAATTTAAGCACAAATATAAATGTCGATAACAAAACTTTTAATTTCATTTTCAATATTGCGTATCAAGAAACTTTTAATTTAAAATGACTTGGTTTTAATAGGTTGTAACTTAATTTATAAGGTTTTTATTATCAAAAAGATTACTTTATACAATTATAGCTAACCCGTGTGCCGCGACGTACTAGTGTGCCGTGAATTTTATTTTTGAATATCTTACGACCCATGTTCTGTTTGTAGTTTTAGTTATGGCTTAGCACTATATGTGCCGTGATACAAAAATGGTTGGACACCTCTGATTTATTGCAATCTAATTGATAAGAGTGATTTAAAAATAAAACAATAATTTCTTTGTTCCTATTTGATTTTTAAGAATTAGTGACCTAGATCATCTTGACAATGACCATACATTCTCGTTTAGAGGAAACTAAGGTACTTAAATGATAAGTCGTGGAGTTCTCAGCCCTCTCTGAGTTCGGATTAACAGCCTTTTACCAGCCTCCTGCCCAGCGAGATAAAAATTGGTTATTCTTGACCTTCCTTACTATTGCTATTACAAGGTTTTGTCAGAGTAGAGTATTATGATCCATCCACACCCGCATCCTACATTTATTGATTACATTCAGCAATTAAAAATTAAATCGATTCAAAAATCATTCTCAATTATTTACCAGAATAGCTTAAACATGTTTAGCAGAAGTCCTAATCCCCAAAAAGCCAATAACATCTCAATTACTCAACCCCTTCAAATATACACTCAATAATCTTCAGTTAAAAACCTTTTATTTCACCACGTCAAACTCAAGAGCTCTCATTCAATTAATCAATCTTAACAACAAAGCTGAAATTAGAAACAAATCACAGTCATTTCAAGTATTTTTAAAGGTGATTGAATGACAATAAAATATTACTTCATTTTCAAGTGGGTCTACACGTTGTACAAGTGCCTCATTCAATGTACGAACAAAAAACAACACAAAAGAATTTATCAGAAAATTGATGTAATTATCGGCACGCCGTCAGTGGCAAATCAGTGGCTACCTCATTACACACTCAATTCATTCTCTCTCTTTATTTAATGCATGATGTAATCAATACATTACATTAATTTATTATTTTAAAAATTCCACTGAGATTTTCAACTTATGCATGGCTCACTTCTTCTCGTCCATCACAAAACAACTTGTTTACTTGGCTTTGTGAAGGAAAAAAAATTATAATTAATTAGTTTTTTGAATAAACTGACACATGACTTGCTCATTCGTTTAAATTTGATTGATGTCTTATGACTTTTCAACGTCCGATCGTTAATAGTAGTTTTTTTTTATGTGATTATGATGAAAATGGATAGCGTACGAACGTGGCTTGTGTTGCTTGTGGCTAAAAATCTCTTCTTTTGTTGAGAGATTATCGTGCAATTATTTTGTAGATAATTATCGGTAGTTGACTTTCTAAATGCTGCGATAATTTGATGGGATGATTAACATGTGGCGAAAGTGATGACTTTTTTAGGTTGCATGATGTAATTATGAGTAATATTTTGGCAACGTAAATTATGATTGATTTTGAAGTTAATTTCAAAATTAGCAATAGCTAATTTGAGGAAAGGTAATGAAACGACTTGGTTTAATTTAAACCAAAATTAAGCGTCGACTTAATGAACAATGATTCAAAATAAAGCGACGACTTAATGAACAATGATTCAAAATAAAGTGACGATGTAATCAACATTCTTTCAAATTAAAGCGACAACTTAATCGATATTGAGTCAAGATAAAGAGACGATTTAATAGACATTAAGTCAAAGTAAAGCAACGACTTAATGGACATTGAGTCAGTTCAAAGCGCCGATTAAATAGACATTAAGTCAATATAAAGCACCGACTTATTTTCTAGTTCAATATTTTTGTCAGAATAAAGCGACGACTTGAATCAATTTTCAAGGAAAATAAAGTGTCGACTTACTTTACAAAATGGACTTAGTCACAACGAACCTTAACATCTTCAGCTCATGGAAGATAATTATCCCATCAATAATCCGTTTGAAAAGTATTTTATTCTCCACTTATTAGTTTCAATATTTTTAAAAGCATACATTAAGTCCGACAAAACATAGAGCTGTGGAATTAAGAAAAATTAAAAATGTGAGTGGTCATAAAAGGAGCGCCGTAGTTCAAGTTGGTCTCAAATAGATGAAAATGAGATGTTGGCATGTACATGCATGATTTCTATTTCTCTAAATTATTCAAGCGATTATTAAAACTATTACTTCAAGTAAAACAAAGCAGCTGTTTCGACACTAATTCTCATTACAGTGTAAATAAACTAAACAAACAATTTGCATTGTGCCATGTAGAGACTAATAATTAATTTAAATGCCTTCACTGCATGATGAAGCATGCACAAATGGTTAAGGAGAGCTTTGTAGAGAAGTTTAATAGAGAAAATGTTCAAAGTGTCGTTTGTAATGTTTGTGATGTAAATTTTTAATAAGTTTGCAGTTTTTAAGGGTTTTTAAATAGTTTGGTATAATTTGTAAGTTCTGGGTACAGATTCTTGGTTTATCCGGGGTACCATATGGCAGAAATTGTACCACATTATGGGTTATGATAAAATAAATGAAGGACTAGAGTAGAGTGACTCTGGTAGCTCAAAAACTAGTTTTTAAGATGTTTTTCATAACGTCCATCATAAAATTAAATTTTGAAGCCACCCTTCATCCCCACTGACGCTCTTACAGTCGCACTCTTTGCTTAACTATCGAACTTACCTTAATTGTCGAAACCGTCGAAACTATTAACTAAGACTTAGCTAAAAAGTGGTAATCAGCAATAAAATTACAAGCTATTGTTTGAAATGCTCAAATTTGATCTACCAGAACCTCCCAAGTAGCTCTACAGCAATGAATCATAACACATCGGACAAAACATCACACATGTAATCCTAAAAACTACTCACACAACCACAAAACAGCTTAAATCCACATATTTATATCCGCAATCATCATCAACCATCACTTATGCGTAGCCACAAAGTCTCATATATTTAATAACCCCAATATCCTCCGAAATCGATAATTTACTTCCAAAAAATATTCCATTATTTATTTTAAAGCTCATAAACGTCCACAAAATTTCCATAAAGCTATTCATAACCATCACCAAAAAGCCATACACAATCCATTCAGATTAAAATTTATTTCAACACAGAATGCGCTAATAAAATAAATTTTTATGTAAAATAAAAGTCTAAATTGCAGTTTAGCGGAGTTTTTAAGAGGAATATGAAGAAAATGGTAAAAAAAATAAAAGCCACAAAAATGCTCAGGTGCAGAGTGCAGAAAATAATAAATGTGAATATGAATGAATGAATGAATGGATGGTAAATTAATATTATGCACACAGCGAAAACAAAAAGTTTAAGCGAACAGGAAAATTAAAATTTGAGTTTGTCGAGGGCTGTTGGGGAGTGAGTTTTGGGCGCATTATTGCTTATAATTTAATTTTTTTAAATTTTTAAAATTTTAAGTTTTTAAAACATTATAAAATTTTCAATTGTAAAATTTTGTTTTATTTGTTCAATTTATAAAAATGTCAAATTTGAAATAAATATAAAAAAATCACCCAAAGTGTCCAAAACCTTAGCGAAAATCCCAAAAAATAACGAATTAAACAAAAACTTTCTGACTGCACACTTGATGAATGTAATTGCCGTAACTCTCTCACTCTTTCCACATTACCTGATCGTTAATAATGATTTTACAATCGTAAATTTGCATTGCTGTCAAAAATGTCGAGAGCTTGTAATTTTTATATGCATATACATGTATTTATAGTTGTTAAATAATATTTTCTGATCATTAAATAACATTTCGGTCATAAATTTAACCGCACATCAGCTGTAAATGCTTCGGTAAATTTATTTTCATTTACATTTTTTACTGCTTAAGTAAAAAAATTGCAAGCAAAAGCTGAAAATAAAAGGAATTCTTTGAGAGAGAAAAATGAAATGCAATAAAAATTGCAGAGGAAAAAAGAGGTACCGCGCGATGATTTTTTTGTTTATTAAATGACACCAATTTTTCAACGGGATGCAGGGGTTGGAGAACTAGTTTTAGTTTTTAATAATACAAAAAAAAAATTAAAAGAAATATCAAAATATAAAATAATTTTCAATTATTTAAAAAAAAATATTAAAACTAGAAAACTTTCAATAATTTTCAAAACCTTCAAAAAATTTCAAAAACTGCAAAAATTATAATATGTTTAAAAAAAATCAAAAAATACAAAAGTTAAAAAAATCAAATTATTTTAAATTTAAAAAAATTAAAGAAATACAAAACTTCAATTAAAAATGCAAAAAATTAAAAAAATGTAAAAAATTAAAAATTTCATCCCTTGATCCCTCAAAAACCATCCCGACACATCCTCTCCATCCAAAAAAATAATTAATAAATTAAATTCCATTATATTACGCAATTATATCAAAAGGTGCAAATGATAATTTAATGATGAATGATGACAATGAAGTAATTGCATTAAAATGCATATAAATAAATTACATTATACACAATACATGAAATAATTTAAGAGACAGCTTAATTGTTGTTTTGAAAACTCTTTTTTTACACTCACTCGACCGATGTTTTGTGCTGTTTGTTAACAACATTAAAATGGAAGCAATAAAAAGTTTAATTTATGGTTATGTGTATAATAATAACAACAGAATATTACATTTATATTTTATATATTTTGGACATTGATAATTACATGGAAGTAGAAGGAGGAAAGTTTGAGATTAAAAGGATTGCATGGCTGATTAAGTAGTGCATAATATTTGGTCTTGTTGTCGAAACTTCGATTATCGGCATTTAATGTAGGTTCATCTTTTTTGCTTTACTCACGTGCGTAGTCAGAAGGGAGGGGAGTTATGAAAGAATCCTTAAAAATAACCCCCTCTCTCCCTTATATTTTCCATATAAAAATTGTTTTTGTTCCCACTCTTCAAATTCTGGCTACGCTATGGTTATACTATATGCCTGCCTTAGGCTCTTAACA